AAAAAAACCGGAAAGCGATTTTCTGGGGGACACTGCCTTTAATGATTTTTATTCACTTGAAGCTCCATTGTCCTTTAGCAAGTCCTGCCAATTCTAACATAAATTCTTGCAGTGAGATTGAAGACGAACTAAACACCTCGTTGACGAAGAGAAAAGTGGGCGTTATCAATGCTCATGGTAAGCGCTTTGATTCAGATGAAATTAGAGGTTTTTATTTTCACATTTATATCACTTTTTCTCACTCATCTTCCTTGATATGTGCGTTTACCTAATTTCTTTTCAGAGCTGGAACGGATCAAGATTAAGGATGCAGTGCACGAGGTAAGTTTATTAGAATGCCTAAAATTTGGTTGACTGAAATGTTTCAAGTTTTTTCATCTGCAAATGCTTCGCGCGGGAAACATTGCTAGAATGTTCGAACTACCTATTTTTGTAGCTTGATAAATTGGACAGTGCGGACGTATTCCCTCATCTTGATGACAGCCAAAGGCAAGCTGCTATACAGGCGCTCACAAATGAGCTGGCTATAATCCAAGGACCTCCGGGCACAGGTTCCGCTTGTGATCTGCCGGCTGGTACATCAAAGAGCTATACCTCCAATTTTTCCAGGAAAAACCTTCATTGGTGTCGAAATCGCTAGAATAATGCTGCACAATCGGGATCGTTGGGGAATTACGGAGCCGATGCTTGTTATGGCGTACACTAACACTGCATTGGATCAGTTTGCGGAAAAACTCTTGAAGGAGGTAAGGCACACGCCTACAATCCACTAGTTCCACTTGATCTCTTTACTATTGGTCAAAACAATAAAGTGACCAATAGCGAAGCGGATCTTCAGTTGATCCGTTTGATCCACTCCATTCACTTTGCTATTGGACAGTTCACTGAATTGACCAATAGCGAAGTGGATCAAGAGGTTCAACTGGGTCAAATATGGCGCATGTCTAATGCAGTAGGTATCTCTTGGAACGAAAAGCATTTGATGTTAAGGCCCACTTCGACATCGACAAAGGCTACTTCAAACATGAATTCCCTATAGCGGCACGGTTAGGCTCTAAGTCAGAAAGTGAATTGTTGAAGAGGTAGAGTCTGTAAGTGAAGGTCTTCGGCTTCTCTCACTTCGCTTGTTTAGCGCCAGATTCATGAAGAAGGATGTGATCACTGATTGGTCTATGGATCTGAATACGGATAACATTCTCAAAGAAGTTGAAACGACCCAAAGAAATAAGAGAGAAGCCCGTGAAAAGCTATCCGATGCCGCTTGTGTGCTGTGCGTCTACAAGAGGTAGCGAGCTTGCTTGTTTTTCAAATTCTACTGCTGACATTGCCTTTTTTCAGAGATCTCATCAGTTTCAAAGCTCTTGCTAAAGTCATCCCAGAAAAGTTCAAAAATGAACTCAATGGATGGAAAATGTCGCATCGCGATTCGGTTGGATGTGAGCTAGATGTATGTTTCTTCTGGAAATTATCAGGTTTCAAAGGTGCTAAAATATTTCTTCTAGAACGATGAAGCGCTGGCATGTTGGCTGTTAGATAAAGCATACACAAAGGACGAAGGTGCTATTGATATTACACTTAGTGAGGATGACCTGTACTTACCGGAGGTTTGTAAACAGATCATTGCTCCTTCATAACGAGAACAAAGGTTGCGTCAGTGCCGGTCTCAGAATCTCCTTTTTTTGGGGAGGGGGGCAAAAGTTTTCTTCGAATTTTTGGATACTTCCTAGTATTTTTGGAGGCCCATAACCTCGAAATTTCAGACGAAGGGGGCGTGGCGACAGCCAGTTTTATCACAAAGCTATTTTCAATCCTTGAGAATTTTTTGAATTATTTATTCTTCTTAAATCACAAAATTTGTTCATACAAAAATATCTTGGTTATTTGCTAGTATGAACAGATTTACACATTTTAAAGCTAAGGTAATTTTTGAAATCTTCCGCTCCCCTCCCCCCACCTTCCTCTCGATCAAGCACTGGACCTTCCAAGGTTTTTTAATGAATTATTGCTAGTGTTACTGCTTCAGGACTTGCCTACAGATGACGAGGAGGAAGGAGCTCCAATCGAGAAGCTGCTGGAAGATGTCAACGTGAGTCGTAACAGAGTCTGGGTTACGGTCTGGGTTCTAAAATGATGAAGGGCTGGTTTTCCAAGTGAACGTTATTTGTTTTAGCAAGTATTTTCTAAAATCTCGGGTACTTATACATAACTCTTCGTGTTACTTCTGTGCCACACATGTTTGGTAAGTGATCTTCAACTCCCATCTCATTGCCCAACGTTTCGACGGTTTCCTTTTTCTCAGAGGTCTTAAAAAATAAAATAACAAAAGCCTCTGAGGAAGACGAAGGCGTCGAAACATTGAGCCATGATATTGGAAATAGATACATTTACCAGACTGTGGCGCAGAAGTAATCTGAATACATGCCATTTTTCATTCAACTTTTTTCTCGATGTAGGAAAGACTGATGTGTTTATCAGTAACCAATTAGGCTCGTAATTTTTGAACATGGCTTACGGTAATTTTTTTAGCGTCTTGCGCTGGATGAAGAAGAACAGGATGAGGCAGATGACTTTTACCTAACAGAACGTGTCTGGGACATTGTTCGGGACAGCCCATCCATGAGCCATGTTGTGTTGTTCC